TTGTGTTGTCATTTCCCAAAACTGAAATGCTGGCCCAAGATTGGAAGCAACGGTGACAATGCCTGAAGCGTTGAAAAGTCTAAGAAGTCTACCTCCGCTTCCAGGATGACGGACCGACTGAATTGCTCCTTTCTCAGCGGAAACATAGAACAGGTTTCCAAAGGCAAACGAATCTGAGACAAAACTCCCGTATAGCTCTGGCTCGACGGTGCAACCGCTGGAGATGATGAAGCCGAAATACGAAAGTTGGTCAACCTCCCCAAGCGCTTCACTGTTCTGTTTCACGTCTAGGTCAGCTGCGTAAGGTTGGTTCTTCGTAACGTTCGACTTGCGGGCGTATAATGACGCCACCGGCTTTCAGAGCTGTGTTGCATAGAGAGTAGTCTGGTGGCAGAGCCTACTGCTTTGATCTGCTTGCTTCAGGTCAGGAAAAATCTTGCGAGGATTCTCTAGCTGTGCCTTCCTTCTTGAACGAGGCATTTGTGTTTGTCAGTGTCTGCGCTGTTTTAGAGAGAAAGTCAATAACAACGTTGACTCACAAAAGCGAAAGCACAACTGCTTGGCGAACTCAACACCTAATAGAGAGCCGTCACTCAGAGAGCTCTCCTCCAGCTTTGACAGCAGACATTGTTTCTGCATTCATCTGGTCCAAAATAGAAACGACTTGCTCAGGTATCGCATGGCACTTCAAGATCCTTCACACTGACGGTGGATGTAGCGAATCAAATGCAGCCCACAAGTCAAGGAAACTAGCAGAACAAGGCAAGACAACTAGAACCGTCGGTTTTGTTAAATGATACTGCTCAGAGTAAAAGCTTATTCGATACAAGGGTACTCCATTCAGAAGCCTGGTTGATGTAGACGAAGTCTCCAGGTCAGCTTCATGCAGCCTCAGCCTTTGCAGGATAGTCCAAGAGAAAAGTTTTTCTAGAGATAAAAGTCTCACATCTGATGATCTGAAACTGAAGATTCTCCAAAATGATCATTAAAAGGCAAGAACCGTTCCAGACCGCCTTGTAACTCATGCACTTAGCAAAACGGTGGCATTATCGGCTACGCCCATGCATGATCTGAAAAATATTTTTCAACCGGGCTGTTGTCATCTTAATCTGAAACAGTTGTTTACTCGTCAGTGCTCTATGTCATTCTGATTAATTGCCAGACGAATAAATATAATAAAAACAATTATTTCTGAGATTTCAGGGCGCTAGTCGACGAGTGCCCGTTTCACGCAGGCGCAAGTATTCGCCCAAGCAGCATTATAAATGAACGAACACTGTGATATGTTCACTGTTGCAGAGGAAATGAGGAAAATCAAGTTAGATAAACTTAGCTTGCGCTCTCATACGTAGGTCTTTCCATGCAACCATCAGAATCGATGTGTTTACCGCAAAGACGCAAAACCCTAATCACGTATCCTACGCTAGGAAATTCGAATGAAATAATTGGTTAGAGACTAGCCGAACAATGCAGCAGCTGGTACGCATCGTGGCTAACTGCGTCACTGCGAATTCGAATCCATCAAAAGCTTTTTATGAGCCACAGATGTTGCTGATGTCGATCATTGTTGTGCGTGTCGAATTGACGATGAGGTACTTCGACAGACATAAAGATTGAGCGAGATTAAATGAATGTTCGCAAACCAATTTTAATTTGAAAAACGGCCGTGGTGTTTCCATGCGTATTAAAACAAAAGTGTTAGCGAGTCACGTTTCCAGTTTTACATAAAACTGTGGAAATTGGCAATCAGGCATCGAGCAGAGATCAGAGTAACGGAATAAAGCGTTCATGAGCAACTCAATGACGCACATGATGTTTGAGGGCATCTGGAAATCGGTGTAAGAGGAATTCGATAGTCCGTTTGTACGAAAAGGTGAGGAAAATCATTAGACATCATAGGGGATGTGGCGCAATGGTTCAGTAGTGTGCTTTGCACCTCGGAGGTGCCGAGTTCGAACTCCATGTATGTCGTATATTCACTCTTGTTAACTGCCTGTCATTTTGAGCAAAGAGTTCGACTAACTGTGCTCCGATGCAAACAGCCGAAAATAAGGTAGCAGGTCGCTGACCTGCGCAAAATAGTCGCAGCATGTTGTTTTCGTGTGGCTATGGTAGAGCCTATGAGACTAATGACAGTGCTGTCCGATGCGCTCAACTATCAGCTGCAATTCGAAATGATCCACCTTATAGCTGAGTAGCAATCAGCACAAGAAGTAGACGCAAATTTGAAGTTAAACTTTTTAACAAACTTGGATGTGTTAAAGAAAGAAAGAAATGAAGTCATTAAAGAAAGGAAAAAGCGCACCACTGCAGTGTTGACCCTGATGATTTGAAACAGCAGCGGGGAACAGGAAATATCTTACTGTTTCCTCTTTTCTTCTCATGCTTGTCGTCTGTCCGCACCACTCTTTGACCATTTGGACATCTGACACGCTAGACTGCGTGTTCCTTTGTTGCTGTTGTCATCGTAATCTGGGGTATCAGGGTCAAGGACGGAGTACCCGGATTAATTGTGCTTGATTCTTTGGCTTCTCAGAATAATTTAGGAGACGCTGATTGCTGCGGCAAGCAAGTCCGTCGCAAATTATGGCAGGAATATAAATTGGACCACTCTACCAAGCTTTGTAGTCGTCTACTGATAAGGTTAACTATCGGCTAACGATATCCACAGTAATCTGTTTCAGAGTCGTTTCTCCCTTGCACGACAAGTATGAATATTCATATGTTCAAAGAATTCAAAATAAGAACAGAATTATTTGAGGGTTGCTGATAGTGGCTATTATGAGTATTCATACTATCGAAGATTCACAGGACAAGTGGCTCTCATTATCTGTTTTTCATACAAAACAGACTTAAAGACGTTACTTAACCTTTCTGGCAAAATATTCAAAAACGAGACGCCATTTTCATCTCCGGCGTCAACAGAACGACAAAATTCATTTTGCTGTTGGAGCGGTTGAAATCATTATACCGTTGGCGATGACAATACAGCAGGAGGAAACGTTTTGGCTGTCGTGGTCGAGGGAGCAATTCAGATGCACTCAAAATATTGCTCACTGAAATTCCGATATGATCGTATTATTTCATCTTTGTGATATAGCACAATGAGTTTCAACTACTATTATGCTGAAAAGAAATTGGAGACAGATTCAGAAATGCAGATTATAGCGAAAGCATTCCTGGTTGATATTCGTACCAAGACGGAGATGGATTTTGCATCGTAAATTTCAAGAAAGTATGGTGTCATAAACAGCACCCCCCCCCCCAGAGAAGTGTGAAGAGGACATAGAAAAGTGTGTTTCGTTCAGTTCTGAGGAAACAACAAGAACTATAATTCTACCAGTGGCACTCCTTGGGGCGCGAAAGTTTTGGAATACCTTAATTTTGTAGAAACATCTACTGGGGATATTCCAAGTCAAGACCGATCATATTTTTCCTTCTTCTACATCCTGCGTACGGTAACCTACCGCTGCTGCGCGAAGACTTATTGTTTGGTTCAAAACTTGTTAAACATGGAGATAAACTTACCATGTCCCTTGCGAACCAACATAAGAAAGAAGCAGCTGTTCCATCGAGTTATTTTGACTGAAGAGGGTCGATAACCCTCCCATTGTGATATTGACTCCGTAGTTTAACAATGCAATAACTTTTTTTGTATCAATAGCTTGTGTTGTTGTAGCTGAAAGGTCAGTAGTAACAAGAAGGAAGGAAGGAAAAGGATGGTTTGTAATGCTGAATATTGGTTTTACTTACTTTTCATGACAGGGCCATTTCTGGCACTGTTTTTTCGAGAAGTTAATGGTGCGGCGCTGATTTCCACTATTATGCCATTAGAAAAAAGCCCCTTGTTTTGAAAGCAGAGTCAACAGCAACTATGTGGCAAATACAGCTGCAGTATCCTGTTTCTTTCCCAGAAATTGGTACTGATTTATCCACTTCAGAATCAAGAAACTCAAGTAGCCAGATTCGAACTCGACTCGAAATCCGGATCTACCATTTCTGAGTCTAGCGAACTACCGATTGAGCAACTCGGTCTGAAGCAACATCCAACAAAGATTATTTTCCTCCAGAGTAAAATCCAGTACCTCTAAAGTCAGAAGCCGATATTTAATTACTGTGAGGCCTTAACAACCATTAAATCAGGGCCACTTACAGAAATGAATGGTACGAAATGGAAAAAAAATTTCGAACTCATTTGGAATAATTGAACTAATGTTTTTCTGCTATTTACTCATAATTACACAAAACAGTACTTTTTGAGCTTTTCTTTTATCAGCTCGTTGGTTCTGCTGGTATATCCGACTAAAATTGGATACAATGACCGGAACTGGAAGTGCGATGACCAATACGCCGCTTAGAGAACACACTCCACCGACGACTTTGCCAATCGTAGTGCCAGGAACCATGTCGCCATAGCTGAAATGAAACGTAACGTTGAAATCAATAAAAGGACGAAGCAATGAAACGCTCATAGTTCATCGTCTTTAGCAGAGAAATCTCACTTCTGTATGTCAGTACATGATCATTGCGATTGATTATTATTCTGAGAGTCTCTTGAGATTCAGGATAAACCTGACACTTGGACATTTAACGTTTATACAATCTTGCCATCTGTGCAAATTGCGTTGTGTAGATCCAGTTAGAGAGAGCAAAGAAGTTCAAGAAATAGTGAACCCTCTAGGTGAATTGCAGTAGAAACGGAGGATACTTCCAAGGGAAAAGAGCAGATGAAATACTATATAGCCAATAGGTATAAATTGAACCTCGATAAATTGCTTCACGCGCAAGTAAAAGATTCCTTCTAGACAAAAGTTTGGACATACAATCGCCAAGTCATTCCGAATGACATGTGGATGATCAGAATTTACATTGAGCAAATGTACACAATGGCAAATTGATGTATGAAACGAGATTTGAAGATTAATTTAATTTGCCTTTAATTAATTGAAGGATTAAATTTCTGATTAAATTTCCTTCTGCCCTGTGTTGAGACTCTCCATAGCGTATCCTCAATGCTCTTTGCACGAAGAGACTATGCTGGATTGCATGACAGGGTAATATATCTCCGTAGCTAATACCATTGTTACCTTGACTATGCTAGCAAGACGTTTAGTTTCATTTGCCGGAATGTGATAAAAAAGCAAGTAAATTATGGGCTTCGATCTGCATCCTCTGCTCCTTAGGCATTAATGCGGGGGCAGGGGTGGGGATATTTAAGCGACCCATTATTCCAGGCTATTTTAACAGCAGCAGCACATGAATTGTCATGACTGAAAAAAACATGGATTTCGGATACAAGTGGCTGAATCGACTTTCCTAGATGAGTTGTTTGGCTCACATATGCCGACATGGTCTTGGATTGAGATATCTGGGAGAACCTTGGTGTACAGTCGCTGCTTTTCCAGACTGATAAATCACAGCTGCAAAGGTTTTGCATGTCTTGCGAATGTTCTAGAAAGGAATAAGAAACAGCTACTACATCCCAACCGACGGATCGAAGACTCTGCCGGCATCCAGTAATGATCCGGGACAAGTGCCTGGACAGCTTCTGCTACAGAACCCTGGGTATCTTCTGCCGAAGCTCAGATCCAGGCACGCAGTTGGAAACTTTGGAAGCGTTGTCTGAACCGTCTGCCTGCGCTACCCAAACGAATAACGGTCCTCGAAACTGACTGACTGATCGTTTTCTGGAATTCAGTGATACAAAGTCGTGGGGTGCGCTTGATCGTGACTTTGCTTTGACTTCGTTGCTGTCTTTGCATTAGCTAACGTTTAGTCGCTGCTAGCAAACCAAACTTTCTCCTCTACACATCTCCGCTGGTTCCTTATTCATAACGAATGAACTTTTTCCAATAATATTGTTATCAATGAATAGTACTTCAGGTTTTTTAATTCTGGACCCATGGATATGCAGATAAAT